TTCATCACGAGCTCGGCGTCTCTCCTCCTCTACCTAATGACAAGCCTAATATAGTCCGTACTTTCCGACAGTTTATAGTTTCCAACTCCAGCCGTAAAACCGGTTCTCGGTTAAACCGGAGCAATTATGTCCGTGTCGAAGTGATAATGCGGCTCCTTTCGCTGGCTCGTTAGTGCGACGCGTCGGAGGACGAAGAATAACGGCCGATTCTCTTCTTCTTCTTCTTCTCGAAAGACGACAGACTGGAGAGGTTGTCCCCCGCGGGACCGTCGGAGCGACGTTATTACCTAGCGGGATGCTTGCAGTCGACATCTGTAATTTTCCCCCGACAGCTTGCGGTATCGTTTACAAAACATTGGACACTAATTGAGGAACGACACCTCTCACACCTTGTTTGACTCGCCATCGACGGAGCCTCAGCTCGGAGTTAATGAGGCGAGCGCGGGGAGGCACTGAGCCGTCTCTCGGTCCGGGTTGGACCGTACCCGCTAAATTAAACCGAGCGTAGTTGCAACGGCTGGTCCCATCATCTCCAATAGCAAGACGTTACAGATTAAATGGTGCATCCTCGGTTCCGGCCCGGCACATTAGCATATCGTTACCTCGCTGCAGCTCGCAAATATAGTCAATAATATGCAAAATCCGGCGAAAGACATTTAACACAATCGCCCGCTTTAATTGCGGTTTCTCTTTCTCCCTCCTTTTTCAATTTCTCGTCCCCGACGCCTCCCTCGTCTCCGCCCGATTATCGCCCACCGTGCAAATTCCTTGCAACTTTAACGACTCGGTTCTGAATTTCCGACCAGGACCGAATTCTGCCTCCTCCTCCTTCTAATGTAATCCCTCTTCCGCTCGAGATTTTCCATCACCCCGTATTAGTTATGGCCAGAATTCGAGGGAAAGTGGAAATTTTTCTTTAATCTTTTGGGGGCGGCGATGGCTAATGAAAGGAAAGGCGAAGAAGCTCGGGAATCGACCCGAGCCTGGAGCAAAGAGACTCATTAAATGCACGTTCATGTTCGTCGGGAATGCCGGAGACACGGTGATGGATCCGAAGAAACCCTACCCTTTCTGGCGGGCCGGATCTGCGGCCGGTTCCCGACACCCGATTCCTACCGTTGGGGAAAGACGACCTCTGGACCGCCGTCGCCCCTACCTATAATGGTGCGTCTGGTTGGCAACTTGTCTCCATAAATCTGTCCTCCGTGTCTACCGCCGATCTCTCGCACCTGTTGAACTCGCGATTCTTCTCTCCTCCTTACCTCCCTAACCTTTCGAAATTACTCGTTTAGAAAATTTAAATCTTTATTTTCTCGTGCCGCTTCGTAAACACTTCGAGTGATGCGTGTTCTAGTGTCTTAGAGCTCTCTTACACGTGCTTCTGCTGACAAACATCGAGTACTTTCTAGAAAATTAAATTGCATAGAAACTTTTCGACGTAAAAGGGGAATATCTTTACATTTTTCTCCGTTGGAAACAAAAATTTCCCCACGACATCTTGAAGAGCAATCGCAGTTAATTGGGAATTCCGTGCCACTATTTTTCTTTGTCGTCAGTTCAGAAAACTTCCTTAATCCGTACGGATTTAATAAAAAAATGACGTTATTTGGAACGCGTTATACTAAAATGGGAATCGTTTTATTTGAAAATCGTACAGACGACACGAAAAATGCAATTTTTTTTTAAAGTCTTTGTGGAGGAAAGAGAGGGACGGGAGTAATTAAAACGGGAATACGTGAAGAATAAATTGAATCTCCGCTCCGCAGCCCGGATATCAGGGTTTCAGAGGGGCTCCTATTACGGACGACAAAGTCCACTTCATTCTGTTCTGCATTTCTTCGCTTCGTGTTAAAATTTCGGTGGACACCGAAACCGACTTCGCATCTCCCATTGAAAAAAATAGAAAGAAAACGATAGGCCTCTTGTTCCTATGGTAAATTTCTCTTGTGCTATGTTCGGGTAATTGTTAGCTTCGCTTAATTTGAAAAACTAAATTGCCCCCTCAGGAAATAACTTGCCAACAGCGGCCTTAGTTTTAACGACAACGCCATCTTATCCGAAGTTTTTTTTCGCAGTTTTACCGTTAACCAATTACGGATTGGTTGAAATTTGGCATATTTGATATAAATCTGATGTTTTAATAAGTGTCGGGTGTTAATAAACAGCGGACAGACGGTCGACCGGAGGGAATCGTCGCGGCGGTCCAAGGTTAGAAGGATGAAGAATAGAGGCGATTCATATACCACCTGTCAGATTAGATATCTGGGAAAACGCTGTACTATTTGATGGGCTACCATAAATTTGCATTAGCAGCTAGACCCTGGCTGACCAGAGATCACGAATTGATTTTTGGGACCGGCGTTACGGGAGAGCTATCAACACCGTGAGAGAACAAAGCGATCACCTAATGGACTTCAGACCGACTGACACCTTATATAAATGGACAGGACCGTGATAGGGGACCGGTGAAGAATGGAGCCTTTGGATCCAGAGTCTGCGGGTTGCTACAACAATGCGTAGCTATGGGTTGTTCCGTTACTTTGCACAGGAAGTGGTAAGTTCCCTTCTATTTCCGATAGATGTAAAATATTTCGTCCTTTGACGAGCATCATCGATCCGGAGATTCTCCCCTACCTTCTCTTAAAGAATCGAGTAAATCGACCACGAATCAAATAAATGACGCTAATTTTTTGGCTTCTTTGGCAAGTTAAAAAAGGAAAAAAAAAGAGGCTTTCTCTCTGTTGCCCGTGAGGATAGGTAAGAAGCAGTTATTGGTCACCCCGTCTGCCAATCGAAAGTTGAAATTAACTAAAGGGGGGATTCGATTGTAATGAATGGAAAATTTCTTAGGTAGGCGCTCGATCAATGGTGCGATTGATGCGTCAGAGTGGCCCGTCGTCCGTCCCAAATGTAGCACAAATGGTTCTAATGGATGATGGGTAATAGAGACTTCTCCATCTCCTGTCTAATTAACGGCTGATTAATGGTTAAACTTTCCATCCAATATTCATCAGTACATTTCCTACCAGATGCCGCCTGTTGGCCATCAAAAAGCAGTTCATTAATTTGCCGGAGGAAGAGGTGGTGAATAATAAGAAGCCTGCATCAGCTTTTGTCGTCATTACGGCCGGTAACTTTCTAGCACGCTAATTAATAATAAGGATTTATAAAAGAATTTCGTCCTCTTATTTCGTGCCACATCCTCGTCCCGACCGGGCTCTTTGACGACTACCACCATCTGGTGGCCGATACCTAAACTAAATAGAAAATCGGTAACGCAATGTATAAGAATACGTAACGTCACGCGTGAAATACGCTAGGACGGATTAGAAAAATTGTCGATGGAGATTACGGACGAAGATGGAAGAGTTGTGTTCATATTTAGGAGGGAAGAGAAAGAAGTGGCTTTAATAAACAGTCGAGTAATTTGTCGTCGAGCCACAGATGGCGCTAGCAGCGTCGATCAAAGAGTCCGATCTGCCGAACGGAGGAAGCGTTATTCTCTTGCCAATTAATCTTGTGTGTCCGGCAAAAGTTTAAACGGAGGAAGGCAGAGAGGAAAAAAAAAGGCGCGATCGATGTTGATGGATGTCACGGAACGTTGTTTTTCTATGTCGGTTGCAAAGGCTATCGCTGTCCACCCAATCTCTCCCGGTAGCAGCTACAGATTGCCTACCTCGTTTATCACCGTCTCTCTCTTCTTCTTAATTTGTCCCAAAACCCGACAACCGCCGCTTCGAACTCTGTAAGAAGTTGCGACAGTTTCGACCGTTGTCTTGCCTCATCGTAACCACGACGATTACGTCACGGGCGATAGAGAAGCGTACGGTGTAGAGAGGCGGTCGTGACTCACAGCGCGCCAGCGCGTTTCGAAATCTCCGATAATTACGCTTGTTTTCTTTCCCCCTTCTTATTGTCCGCTTCTCACTTAAGCGCTAACGAGCTATTTAAAACGAAAATAATCTTTTCTCGCCAATTCCAGCGTGGAGACATAATAAGAACTTATTCGTTCGGCCTGAAAATTCCTATCGGTTAAACTTTACACTTGTAACTTTCGTTAGTTCGGGAGGGTTTAGCCACGGTTTGAAACATACAATGCCAGCATTATCTGGCACATGCAGCCTTTTCGAGTTCTTTCTGCAATTCTGAAGGGTTTGGGTAGCTTTCTGCAGTGCCAAAAACGCATCTCGAGAAGACAATGGAATGCCAGCGATCCTCTCTTATTTTAATTGTTTGGCGCTAAATTTTCCGTGTTCCGCGATTTTGCAATTAGATGCGGGTGATGTTTTGGACGAGATAGGATGGAGACGGTTGTGTTAGGTAATGACTTGGAAGCGGTAGTTTGTCGAGTGAATGGATGGCAGGAAGTCGGAGGTACAATAGAGTTAGATGGAGTACGTGGGCATGGCCCTATCGCTGCAGACGGAAGCAGATGGCATTCTATTGTTACTTCGACAACGGGTGCTCAAAATTAGCGGTACGATTGTCACGGAGAACGGTCGATCGCCAGAAAACGGTCGGCACCGCCGACTTTACGCTATGGCATTCCGTTTCTATACGCCCGGGGGATACACCTCGATGCGGACACACCAGAACCGATCCACGCGACGCCTTTTCTAAAAGTCGGCGACGTTTCTCCATCTTCCACGGAGAAGAGGTTGTTAGCACTCTTCATAAGTAGAATATATTTAGACGAGTGAAGCCTACAGGCTCGCTCAAGGGCAGCTGCAAAAATTAGGCCTCGCGAGGGTGTGTCCGAAAGGCTCGACAACAATAGCCGCAGCGAAAAAAAAAAGAATGCTGCGCCGTAAAGGTCGTCGAAATCACGCGCGGCGCACGAATAGACACGCAATTTTGACCATATGATTTAGAAAGACATCACAAAGGTCAATAAGGCCCGCTTAGCGACTCTGTTTAACGGTAGCACAGGCAATGGCCATCGTTTAGTAATTACGCGTGGCTTGGTATTAACGCGATTCTGGTTTTTTTCCATTTGCCAGATTGTGGATGTTTGCGGAGTGACCAAGGCCTGGGTGGACACGACGGTGGCCAGAGGGGGACAGTGGACGGCATTTTTGAGGAGAACGGAAGACAGGTTCGCCCACAACGTCACGCCGGTCATCTGTAACGGTCAGGTAATTAGTTTTATACTAGTCGTAATCGATGATCCAGCGAAATCCCCGGGAAGTCTGGCGATTTGGGGGTGCCGGTGTTTGCCCAAGGCACGAATTCCGTAGGAGTGCGTCGTACGCTTCCTCCCGGGAAATGAATGGCGAGGAAAGAAAATATGACAGTGACATTGTCCCGCTTCCCTTTCCACTCGACTGTTATTTCCTAATGATTGCGCACGACTCGGCGTTCTTGCTCCCGTGTCGTAAATTGTTTACGTCACGGCTTTTATTGCCTCAAACTTTTCTCCGCGTTTCGAAGACGATATTTGTCAACAATCGACATTCTTTGGTTATACAACGTTCCGTTTCGAGGTCGAGAAATGGGAATTGCGGATGAAAAAAAAAAGTAAACCGGCCCCGGGGGCCTTCGGCGTTTTTATCAAAGAGAGAAAGATCAGATTCCATCCCGACGTCCGATAAAGGTGCGGTATCGTTTTTTCCGTACGAACGAGGTAACCGATTTGGAAGTGTCATTCCACTCTTCCCAATCAAAGGCCATTGACGGTACCTTATCTGTCCTAGAAGGGCTAATAAACCAGTTGTTGCTTCGGTACTCCTATTGTAAACCAATTAAGCAAACCGGTTCGAGCCGGAACGAAAACGGAGATGACACTACCCCATTTCTGGAGGGCGTTGCCTACTCTCCTTTCGGCCCGAGGAAAGTAGCGAAGTGTCTTTTGATATATCGATTTGTTGATATCGGGGTCGTTCACCCTCCGCGTTATTCCATTCACCTGTCTTTCCACAGGTGCCGCCAGTTAAGACATTATACCTCGGGAGGTAATATCCCCGTCCCGGGTGCGATAGCGGAGACCGTTAGCTAGCGTGATGGCCGCAGTCAGGATGTGTTATTAGATAAGGATGGTTGGCGTATAGCGGAACGCTTCCGCACCAGACTCCCCTGCTAAACAGAGGTGAAAACCACAGCACGAAAAGTCACTTAATTACCGTTATTTGACAATCATTAAGTTTCGGCCAACTGCTCCCGTTCTGACTGTAATTACCGCCGTGATATTCACAGGCAGGAAATCCTATTGATTGGCGAAAGTCAGTGGCCATCGCTTCCGTCTCCCTCATCCCCGACTCTCTTCCGGTAACTCTGGGCGCCATTTTGGCAGCGCCCGAAAATGGCTACCGGTGGGTCCCTTCAAAAAAAAAAAAAAAAACACGCCGCACGCGATGATTCCCGGTGATGCGAAACTCCCAAGTTTCTCAGACATCACGCTTCCCGGCACTTCACCCCATCGGGCCTCAACCCCTCGCATCCTCTTTTGTTTATAAGAAACAGAATTCGGAACGATCTAGATTCAATAGTTTCTCACCCCCGAACAGTAGTCGGGCCGAACCCGGCGCGATCCAGTTTTTTTTTTCTCTCCGCCCGATCTTTTAAGCAAGGACAATTAGACAATTAAAGCGTATTGGTTACACGCGATGGCTTTGTATCGAGAAAGTGGAGCATTAACACCCGTCCCTCGAGTCCCGTAAACCACATAGCTTAGTCCCCCACTTTTCTCCTCTAAGTACCCGAGTTTAAACGATGCTTAAACGATAGAAAGCTGACGAGGCGGGACCACACCCCCGCGAGTGGTCCTTCTGAACGAAATTACGGTCCACCCGAGGTCGTTCCATTGTTTTTAGCCGGCACCTAACGATGTCGGTGTCGACCGGGTGAACCTGCCATTTTCTGGGTCATCGCGGAAACCACCCTCCGACACGATTTCGGGCGATTCTGCCGTCCCTTCTACGAGATTTGTTTCTGGAGAAATTCGGTCCCCGGTCCTTCACAGTCGGTCGAACATCCCTTTAATATAGCTAGGTAAAACTCAATCGCTCGGACTGTCGGTTCGTTTCGGATCCGTGCACCCGACATATCGGCTGTCTGTCGGTGAAAGAACAATCAAGTTCTGTCAAAAAACGGTAAATTGTCCGTCAGCTGAAGTTGGCATCCGGTACTGGGCACTGGCTAGCAACGACGTCACCGTCCAAAGCGATGTGCCACGGATTTTAGACGTTTGCCATCGATACGATTGTAGACGGTGCGAGGTCAAGATCTGTCTGGTTTAAGTCGCCGTCCTTGCCAAACCGACTTGGTCATAAACCGTGGGAAAATCGATCGATCCGATCAACCCCTGGCTTTATCGCTTGTGACGTCGCAGCCACCCGATTAAGCTGCATCCCGGGCGCCTCCTACCCGTTCTATTCGAAATTCCCCGTCCGGGGTAAGAACGAGTCGTCGAATCGCTTCCGCTCTCGATGACAAAAAAGGGACACGGGCCGATAAGAGTGTCGACTACAAATAAACTCGGGCTCTAAATATATCGACTGTCGGAGTTAAATATAGGAGAGCGCGCCTGTCCCCAGCACACTTATAGAATGCGGGTCGTTTTTGATGTCGACCTGTTTCGGCCGAACGGTTTTACTCTTTCTTACGCCTAATTAGGTCGAAGAGAATGGATGACAAAACAGTGACTGTCTCCGCTAAGTCACGTTCGGAATGTCTCCATCACGTGACCACACTTACATTCGTCTTCCGACCGACGATTCGGAAGAACGTTCGGTGGTCTGCCCGTCCCATTTCATGCAAAATTCTAATTTTAGAAGCCGTCGGACGAAGGGGATACGAACCGGATCACTTTTTTATTTATTGACATGGCCCTATAAATAACCGGAGCGAAGAAATAAATAAAAATCGAAATCCCCGGAGATAAATTTCCACTTCCGTATACAGTTACATCAGTATGCTAGGGGTAGAGAACCCAGTCGGACGTAACCGCACCCAACTTGTTCCGTACCCTTTCTGTCGTACGCGACCACCACCCAGACGGGTATGGTGCCATACGGCAACAGGTAATGCCCCGAAGAAGGCGCCTCTGCCCAGCCCGCAGGCGCCGAGACCTATTTGTAACCGGCGAGATTATTTTCCTATCATCTAACCGGTAACTCCCGGCGAACCAGGCACGTCTTGTCACTGAACTCCCCGTATGTCCCTTGTCCTTAATGATGTGGTTTTATAGGACACTGTGTCAACGCAGTCGAGCCTCTGGCAAGGGTAGACGCCCCCCCGCCCTAGCCCCGAGTCATCTCTACAGCTCAGAACTAGTTCCGTCCAATCTCATCTAACTTTCGAATGTTTTTATGCCGGGATGTTCGACGACCCACTTAACTCTACTTTCTTCCCTCTTTTCTAGAGAAATCGCTTTTTTTCTTTTTCCGCCCATTTCCGTCGCCAGTCCTCATCTACACACTCGAAGCGTCCGTCGGCGCGTGGCCCGCACGCTCCTCCTCCGACTACGACCCCCCAAATAACGAGTTAATTATAACGAGCGGTCAGTAGCCTCTGCGAAAGAAAAAAAAGACTATAAATAATCTCCTTCGTTATTGTAAGGGGAGGGGTGATTGTTCGACTGCGCCTCCTCGCTCGATACTACCTTTTATCAATTTTCTTCGTATGTCACAACAGTTACGCGCCGCGGGAGCCCGAGGAATGCAGAATTTCATCATTGCCATTATTATCCGGTAAGTAGTGTTCGTTTGGTGGTGGTGGATCCATGTGACGGGTGTTTCGAAGCGTCGGTACGTTCGAAATTTCATTTTTCGGGCTACGTAACGCCATATTTTTCGACATTTTGGGTGGTAATCGCGTGCGTGACGGACGGACCCCCCGGGTGGACGATCGTGACCGTCATACTCGAGTGGTTGCGATTGACGGATGATCGGCCGAACCTCGATGATCGTCTTTAATTTCTCGTCCGGAGCAGTTCAAACCGGTCCCCATTGTGCAATGTTGATCTATGATCCGCCGTCAGAAACATTAATTACTTCTGGAAGCTGACAGTTGGCAGGATGGCATCAGGGTGTGGCAAAGCTTCTTTCGTCTGCCAATGCCTCGTTGCCATCGTTACTTTTACTGCTTGCAAAGGACTTTGTTGTCCGCAGGATTCGTTCCTGCTCCTTTTACATGCTGGCAAATTCTTAATTCCTCTACTATTTCGCTACACTAAACTACAACGTACTTTATTCTCCTCTTAATAATTATAATTTTTTCCACTTTCTTATTAATTTTAATCGAAATGATTCTCGCTTCCTTAAGGATGACGCGACCTGGAACAACTTCCATTAGAAAAAAGAGGACCGTTGCGTTGCAAAAATGAATTCGCAACAGAATATCACGGATTTCTCTGGCACAATTTGCGAAACGCGTTAATTCTTTCCTCCCTCTTAAAAGTGCTATCGGTTAAATCGAAAATATTGTACTGTACACGAAGTCCTTCGCCCAAATATTTAAAAAATGGGTTTAAGTAACGTGACTTTCAGAAACACCCGGTATCTTTTGAGAAATATTTGTAAACGAACATTACTCAACCATTGTCATACACCCCATCTCGGTGCGATATAGTGCAACGACCCGAGAAACCCACATATATATATATATATATAAAGAAAAAAAGTCTGTCACTGCAAATAATGCCCGTTCGGATACGCAAGTGTCGGTTACAATTTCTCTAAATTTTACTTTGGCGTAACAAAAGTTAAGTAACGTTGGACTTTTTAATTCGTTACTACAGCTAAATAACCGATTTTTTTTTTCTCCTGTTTTTTCGTAGCCGTATCTCGAAGTCACCAGGGACATAGAGAACAGCCAAGAACTACACTTGGGGAGTTGCGAAATCCTTCTGACTAATTCGGAAAACTTCAGAATCGACCAGTCGGGATCGGCGTTGCCAGGTAAGCTTTACGCGTTGTACGCGTAAATTCTTAAGAGTTGAGGATATTTACGAATCGATCTCGGGAGGCCCAAAGAACCGAACATCTGTAAAAGCTGCTCCACCCACGACTTTGACGTCTCTCCTTTAATTACCACTCGCGCTGGCTGTCATAACTCCACCTAGATCACATCTCCCTGCCTATCACGCACATCTTCGTGATGTCACGTTACTCTCCACCGCCATGACGTCACGCGTCGCAAATATCACGTGATGAGCTTCTGCAGTAGCGTAGATATCGGATTAGGACGGGCGATGCCCGGGATAAATTTTCTAGGTTGAGGATAAGATTCCTCCGATAAGGAGGAGAGAGAGAGAGAGAGAAGAAAAAAAAAAAAGGAAGCGCGAAACGGCAGGAGGAAGCGACGGCAAAATGGATGGAAAGTATTTTTTTCGGTCGAAACCAAGCTCTATTAACCCAGATAGTTTTTTGGTCGTAGAAACGGCGCAGAAAGTGACGTTCGCTACGCCATCATCAACCGTAACGTGTAAAGTAGACGCTAACAAGTATATTGTTGAATAAAAAAAGTATTGTAGTTAAGGTGGCACCTCGTAGGAAACTATTGAGAAGAATTCTTATGTAGGTTTTGCATAAATTGACAGGGATAAAAGGGTGAGGACGATTGTTGCGGAGTGGCAATAAATGGCGGAGAAGGTATCCAGACAAGCGTCCCAAACATATTCTTAGAGAATCGACTGGTATCCGGTTTACGTGATTCTCCCACAAAATGCGGGAGGCGTAGTCGAAATCCGTAGCCCCGGGGTACCGGAGGTGACGATCTTCAAGGTTGACTGTGTCGGCTTCCCCTCTCAGACAGCGAAACAGGTGGGTCGGTTCTTTCCCCCCGAGCGCACACAGGAAGTCCGCAACGATTCGGGAAAAGATGACAGGGGTGGCTTCGACCGTCACACCGCCATCATTTGACATCTGTATCGATCGAGAGACGGTTACACCGACCAGGTGTTGCGTCGCGCGCGTCCGGATTGCGGAATAGTCGGATCGACATTCGAGCACCTGGCGAACGGGAGGAAACGTATCGAGTGACAATACTGGAAGATCCTATCGTACTCTAGTGGTTCGCTCTCATTGGCACGTCCGACACTCGAGCCCAACCCCTCGCCCGTTTCCCGTCTCGTCGGCCAAAGCGCGCGGCCACACCGTATTTGGCCATCCACCCGGTTACCGACCCAACTTGGGTTTCGTTTTCTCTGCTGACTCGCCCGTTCTTTACAGTCTGTTCGGACAACGTTCGCAACTCGGAATCGCCGTCCAAGAGCCCCGACGGGGATCAACCTCAACCTCCACCCCTCATTCCTATCCCAGAAGAAGCGGCCAAATGCCCCGCCTGCGAAGAAGTCTTCGGTGACCGGCTCAGGTAAGTGCCACCTTCCGACTGTTACTTTCCGCGACCTTGACTTTCGCGGCAGGCGACGCGCGCGCGCTGCCGGTACGGGTCGCGGCACCCATTTTTCCTTTCACCACTGCCACCGCATCGGGGGACGGACGGGCACGAAGAGGGTGCAGATTCTTCGTCCGATAGAAAAAGCTCGAACGAGTCGTTGCCTAATTGCGTGAGGAGGTAAACAATAGCCCGGAGCGAAAGCGATTTCGGCGACGATTGGCGACTGGCGTCGAAAGTTACCGCGAGTCGGATGAAATTTCTGAGGAGGATCCCGGTGGCCGGCCGTGACGTCATCGGTGGACGCGGCGTTTCGAAACGAGAGTTTTCGCCCGGAGCCAAAAGAGTCGTCATCTCGAAAACAATTTCCTTTTCGTCGGCGCACGCGGAAGCGCGCGAGGATAAACATCGTTGCGTCGCGAGGAGCAATCTTTGGAATTAGCCGGTTAGGAAAGGGAGTGGCTGTTCTCCGACGACAACGACGGGGGGCGAATAGAGAGAGACGGACGACACCCCCCGGAGGGACAACCGAAAATAGCCCAGAAGACGGAAGGGTCGGTTCCGGCCGGCGAAAGCCACGCCCCACCCACCGTCCGAGATGGTACGAGAGAAGTGAAAGTCGCGTTACGCGGACAGGTAGGTCGCGTAGTCGGAGCCACTCGCGAAGGGAGGAGCCGTCGGAAAGTAGGGCACGGAAATCTGGAGCGCCGTTTAATTGGCCGCTCGGCGCGGGTCCTTGAGAAGTAACCCGTGGCAGGTGGCGGCGCGCGTCACTGTCGACGGCGTCTCCGATCGGCCAGGTGGGAAGTTTAATAAAGGCGATCCGACGAGTCGTCGCCCGTGCGGATTATATGCACCGCAGTCTCGGGATGTTCGGACCTGGTTACGCGGATAACTCTCCAGGTAACCGCCAGCTCCCTAACTCTCTTTCGGTGGCGGGACGTAACGCGCGCCTTGGCGGAACTAACTTATTTTTCTCTCGGAATCGCGTAACGTTACGTCGCGATCGATCGATTCCGGTAATTAGTTCCGATTCGGTCGTCGATAATCGTCGCTGCGGTTCGCGGGTACGGCAGGCCAATTTTTCCCAAACTCCGCGGCGGTACGCGGCCGAAGATGGCCACAGACTCGGCCATTGTCCGAATCGTCGTTCGACTCGGCGGGCTTTTTCGAGATTACCGCCAAAAGAAACGTTAACATTCCCGCTACCTCCTTTACCCGTTACGTTTCCTCGATTTTCTCATCCCGGGTGTTATGTAGGCCGAAGCCCAGCTTTCTTTCCAGGATGGAGGAAACGAGCGAAAACTTTACTTTGGGGAAAGCCGTCGAGTAATCTTCTCGTTAATGAAATAAAGAACGACCGCCGGAGGTGTGCATGGGATCACGTGACCGCCAGATAGTGACCTAGAATTCGATGGGGGGAGAGGGAGACGTTTTAGGAAACTCCCGCTGCCGACGACATTGTTTTAGTGTAGAGCGCGAGGGGCCTCGTCGGGACCTTTCCACTCGGTAAGGCCGTGTAAATACGGAGGAGAGAGCAGGTGTTTGCGGCTGCGAGGAAGGTGCCGTCTTTCCTTCCGCCCTAGGAAAAGTTGGTCGCGCCTTCGTCCAATGAAACGATCCTCTGCCGGGCGGTTTCCGAGCGACGGTCCGTAAAATTGGGAGCAATTAAAACGTCGACGATCTTTGGCGTCTGACGAATCTTGCAGGATGGAAAATTGAGATGCCACGCTCGGGTGGAGAAGTTTCTCTTTTCTATCTAGGTTAGTGTTCTTACGGCTCGTTACGACTTCGCTTCGTCTTTAACAAATTGTTTACTCGCTTGACACACTTTAATCACGTGAACCTTTCGAGTCACGTGATGCGTGACGGCTGGAAGAATCGGACACCCGTATCGAGTGACATTATCTGGGAAGGCGTTAAAGACAAGTTTCGTGGATGAAGTGTCGTCAATGGTTCTTAGGGACCGAACTTTATTTAGGTCGGAGAGCGCGATAAATTAAAAAATAGCCGGGTGTAACGGCTGATCCCGGGTATTTCTTTCACGCCTTTCGAGGGAGAGAGTTAAAGACGAAAAGAAATCGCCGGCCGGTCGACGATCCGGTACGTCTTGACGCGGTTCCGGGAACACCTGGTCGGTCGGGGAACAAAGAGTGTCGTCGCGTGCCTTTCGACGCCTTAAATATTTATTTTTGTGTCGGTCGCCTTATTATTTGCGCCTTCGGAGGCCAAGGGACCGCCCGAACGCGTTTGGGTTAATTAGGAGTAATTCCCCCCCGGGGGAGAACGTATCCAAGGACGGGATCGTTAAGTGGCTCGTGCGCGCTTTAGAGCCGGGTGGAAAATCTTAAGCTGGGTGTGAAAACCGCCGGCGCGGCCATTCGGTGGTGTCCGACGGAGTTAGCGGGTACCGAGTCGAGGAAGTAGGTCATCTAATGAATCCGCCGACGGGGGCGTGTCCCTTTACGTGACGTTTTCTATCTGCAAAAATCGGTTGCGTTACGGATTGCGGCCGTAATTAGAAATTCTCCCGCGATAAGAAGTCGGTCGTTCGACGAGAAGCTCGATGGCGGCCATTGTTTGCCGCTTTAATAAAGACGTCGTCTAATTGTCTCTTCTGTTCTCAGGTTAAACGACCACATTGTTGCCTGTCATTACCCCGACGAAGGAGGAAACGAACGAGAGTACAAGTGCAACCAATGCCCCAAAGTATTTAATTGGAAGAGCAATCTCATCCGACATCAGGTAGCGCATGACGAATCTCGACGCTACGTCTGCGAAAACTGCAAAAAGGTCTTCACCGATCCTAGCAATCTCCAGCGCCATATCCGATCTCAACACATCGGAGCCAGATCCCACGCCTGTCCCGAGTGCGGCAAGACTTTCGCCACTTCCAGCGGTTTGAAACAGCACACCCACATTCACAGCAGCGTCAAACCTTTCCGCTGCGAAGTCTGCTTCAAGGCGTACACTCAGTTCTCGAACTTGTGTCGGCACAAACGCATGCATGCGACGTGTCGCATGCAAATTAAGTGTCACAAATGCGGACAGGCTTTCTCGGCTGTTACGTCGTTATCCAAGCACAAGCGGTTCTGTGAAGGGACTGCTACAGCCGACTCTAGTTTCTGCGTCACCAGCACGGCGCCCGTGTCTTCTTACGAACCCGACAAGACGTCTCCTATGAGCATAACCTCTAATCCATTAGTGTTTTATCCACGTACCGGTCTGCCCCTCTATCCGCCGTCCTTATTTGGTTACCCTTTGTTTTCCGGAACATCTCTACCGGCTCCACCTCCTCTCATTCCGGACACGTATTTCGTGGTACCTCCCGGAGCATCTCCCAGTTCGACGACGAAACAAAACGTCCGATCCCTGGGAAAATCGGAAGCGTCGGAATCCGAAGCTTCTGAAGAAATCACGTCGGACACCGCAGGAGACGACATTTCTTCTTTCAGCGACATCGAGTCTGAAGGGGATCCAGTCCCCGGCTCTGGAATGTTCTCCAGTCAGCGTCAGAGTTCGCCCAAACAGGGAGCAGTGTGTCCGGAACCCACCAACATCACCCCTAACATCACCTCCAACGGTCTCTTGCGTCCTCTGTCGATGAACTGCTCTAGTAGTGTAGATATGGAAATGCCTTTCGATCTCTCTCAAAACAAGACCAGGATACCCTCAATGGAGTGTCGCCAGTTCCAGTCTAACGCGAAAGAAGAAGGAAAGACCGACGAACCTCTGGACCTAAGGGTCATTCACAAGAAGATACCTTCCTTGGAAGACAACCAGCACAAAACTCATATATTCGGCGAGAAGGAGAGATCTCTGGCGCTGCCGCTACCGCCTCCGGTGGGACACGAACCCGCACCAATTTCTCCCAGCAAACTACCCGTGGCGTATCCTCGGCCCCTTCCTCCCATGTTTTTGGAATCGATGTACCGGCTGCAGGAGAAACCGCCTTTCAATTTGTTCGCCAGTCCCGACAGATTGATGGCTCCTCTGCAGCCACCCTATCCGTTCCTCAGTCCTCTATTGGGTAGCAAACCGACGTTCGACTTTATGAGAGCTCACATCAACAAAGTGGGAAAACCCATGCACGAGATGCTGTCGCCTCATCTGAATAAAACAAAGGAACGTTACTCCTGTAAATTTTGCGGAAAGATCTTTCCCCGTTCGGCTAATTTAACCAGACACCTACGGACTCACACCGGCGAACAACCCTACAAGTGTAAATACTGCGAGAGATCGTTCAGCATCTCGTCGAACCTTCAGCGACACGTTCGCAACATCCACAACAAGGAGAAGCCCTTCAAATGCCCCCTGTGCGACCGGTGCTTCGGTCAGCAGACCAATCTGGATCGTCACCTGAAGAAGCACGAGAGCGACGGTCCTACTATTCTGGACGATTCTCCCAGAGCTCCGGAGACGGACGACAAAGACGATGCATACTTCGAAGAGATCCGCAACTTTATAGGCAAGGTGACAAATCCTCCGAATAACGAGAGCCAACAATTTGGCAACAGCGTGGACGAATCGGGAAAGCCGTCCTGCACCGTCAAAGAGGAGGAGGAGGAGGAACCGACTAGGAAAAAGTCCAAGTTAGAATCCAACGGAGGAAACTACAGTAGTTCCGCCAGCGAATGTAATTCCACGGGAGACTACAGCGACAGCGAAGCGGCATACCCTTCTCCGTCCAGGAACGGAGAGACCAACTACGAAGTGGTGATGGCTCTGAACCGAAAACTGGACTTATCCAACGGCTCTAAGGATTGGCACGAAGAGAAGTCGGAGGAGAAGGGAGCCGCCGGGAAAGAGAGCGCGGAGTGACAATCCTCTACCCTAGTCAACAAATATTTACCTTCGACCTACACCAAAGAAGATCAGATGTAAAATAATGTTATAGTGACCTGTATCAAATCGGACTCGTTAACGCTCACTACCCGCAACAATGCGATCCGCTCCAAAGATTCCTGTACAAAAATCCAACCGTTTCCGAACTCGATAGAGATTCTTTGGAGTCGGAAGAAGGGGGCCGAAAAATACAGTTATTTCTCGTCGAGGCGGCAATACCGTTACTCTGCCTGTTTTCTTTCTTCTATTTATTGCTTATAGAATCATCTAATCTGTATACGGAATTTGGGAAAAAGAATTATTCTGCGGTATGTCCTGTGCCTTATAATTTTAACTTCTGGTCATTTACGCTTCGTCCATCCTTTGTTTCGTTTCGTCAGGAGTCGCGACCAACGGACGGTGTACCCGATGGACCGGCAGCCGTTTGTCTGTACAATTTGCAATTTCTGTCATCCGAACTTAGGAGCTGTACAGATCGCTCACCGTCTCCGTTCGTGTAATGTAGAACTTTCAAGTTCACAATAAAAGAAAACGTTTACACCAGATTTCCATTTCCGACTCGTTTATTCCTTCCGACCACTTTACCTACTTTCCTCGCTCTTTTAGCCCCCAATCCGTGCAAAAATAACGTCACTTTCGCTCGCCCCACGCGGCTCGAATGCGGTTCCTTCCCTCCCAATTCATTTGAAATGTACGCCAGAATGGGTTGGTCATCCATCTTTTTTTTCCATTAGTGGACGGTCGAGGCATCCGTCTCGGTCCGATTTCTGCTACATCCCAGAGAACACGCGAAAACGCAATTGCGCTCTCTCAATTGATTCCCTCCGTGACCGTATGTCTCTCTGCCGTGATTAAAATGATATTTTACGCAGTCACGTGATGGAATTTCGGCGGAAACGACCGGCAAACTGGCCAAATCGCTTCCGAAGAGACGGAAGAAGTGGACGGACGAAAACTCGGATATTCCGTGATTCGAGTCACTCCCACTCCATTAAGAGCCAATGGGCGAAGCTTTTGCGCTCTACTCGACTGGGTGTCGTCTGCGCCTCCGATCGATCGCTTTCCCTCCTTCCGGGATAAAGTCTCTCGCGCTAAATTCTACCCCGTCCGGACGATGACGCAAAAACTTCGATTTTTGTAGAAAGTTTCCGTCTGTAGCCGGACGGGGAAGCGGATAGAGTGACGATTTCGTTAGTGGTAAGCGCCCGAGGCGCGTCGTCGCATCTTAGACGCGCGCCTCTAACTGATCCCCGTCCCTCTAATCTGGCTCTCCCCGACGGCGTTAGAAAGTATATGGTAAGATGCGGCATCACACCTGTCGGACAGGTGTGCCGCGAGAACGGTCGACACACTTCGCACCACCTGTCGCTGCCGATCGTCTCGTCTAGATTGGTGACCGTCCTCCTCGTTCGACCCGAGGTGACGTTTATCTTCTCAGACACGTTCGAAGAGCCTCGAGGAAAAGATGATGGTCGGGGGAAAAAAAACTATAGGAAGAGGAGAGGCGATCGAGAGGCGGTGGGGTGAGGGAAAGCACCGCCATTTCTGTAAACATGTGCTAATAACCTAGATCTAAATGTTAATCGCGTTAGAAAAAGCGATTTCACAAAGACCTATTTTATAAATTATTACTCAATTATCCCCACACACCGAAAAAGCGACAACCTCGTTCCGGGATTCCTTCTCGCAATCGAGATTCCGTCCACCGTTGTTCGGGGGGATTTTCAAGCAGGACCAACGCCCCACTGCTCTAAACCGAGATAAAGAGAAGAGAAATTAGAAAGAACGACCGGGTGGACGGATGACGGCAGACGACCGAGCCACAATAAGGTAGGAATTCAGAACACGATGAGTAGGAGAGCATGCACGTGCAGGGATGCGTGAAGAACATTTTCCGGAGCAACCAGCCAAACCGTCGAAGGATTGGGAGATTTGCAGAAATTAATAAGTAAGAAAAAAGAATTGAAGTCACCGAGTGGGATTCCAGTCGATTAGGGAGACAATAACCACCTCTGTAGAAGGTAACAGGGCGTGGTCGGTGAAAACTGGGTCAGCGAGAGGATAGGCACGGGCCGGTACGGTCCAAAGAGAAGAAAAAGGTGCCGTATGGATCGACGAAGGACGTGAGATTTTCCGCGATTCGGTGTCGAGGTGACGAGGCCGTCCGGCTCGCTCGGGGATCGTCCGGTCCGGACGACACCCGTCGCGCGGGCAATTATCTCGGACGAGTTACGCAAGGTGTCCGGGGGCCCGTCCCCTTCTCCGTTCCTCATTGTATGGCGCCGCGTGCGGCAAAGTGGCATCCGACGGCGGCGGTAATGACGAGTGTGCGTCACTAGATCTTTATCTCCTCTTTCGAAATGTTCGCCCCCGCTTTCGACTACCAAATCGTCTTCTTAGTGACCCCTCTTCTCTGCACGCGCTCGATCTGGCCAGGTCGTTGTCAAGTAACCTCCCGGGCCATTTCGATTGGTATCGAACGAAGTGAATTTTCCTCGGTCCAAACCCCCGCGGCCGACAGAACCTCCCATGCGTATCGTCAACAATTCATTGTTTTTTTGTTTCTGTCGAGTGACAATTAGAATCTCGGGATGGTTTCCGTCATCGTCCGACTTTCCTCCAAGAAGGGTCGTTTGGCAGAATGCCCATCGTCATTATCCGTTTTTAATGTTCTTGCGTAACTTAAGAAGTCACGCGCGTTACTGCCAAGTGGTAAAAATTTCCGAGGAGCAAATGTTTAATCTTCCTACTCGTTACCCGAGGCGACGTAACAGAAACGTCCCTGGCAATGGCGCAGTCGATTTTCGTGGCTACTAACAGAGATTTTTCGGTACTAGAAAGACAATCCGAGCGGAAGTATAACGAGGTGCACGTCCCGAACAGCGAGAAACTTAACTCCTTTCCACAACTAGGTCAAACTATGAATAGCGGCTAATTCCGATGTTAAAAATTATTTACGTACGCTATCGACAATAGCGGCGAAGCGCTCTTACGCAACACGACCAAAGACTATTCTGGTAACAATTAAATGACATTAGCAGACGTTTAAGGGCCGTTTCTCCTAATTATTTTGGGCGTATTACTGGCAGTAGGACGGTAGACTCTTCCGGGCTGTCATAATACGAGAAAGTGTTACAAAAACCCCTCCGCGGCGTACAACAGATAAAACTAGAAAATGCGATCTTAACGTCAATCAAAGTAGGTTTCGACAATAAGTTATTACAGTTAAGGCAGGTATATTCTAAATTAGAAAATGCGCCTTACGAAATTCTTTTAATTATGAATTATGAAATGTGTTTGTTTTTATTAAATAAATCCGACTTTACGTGCAGAAGAGGACGGAAACAAAACAAAATCGGCTAGTCTTTTCAAGGTCGTTTCGTAGTTTTCCTCCATATCAACCATTCCCGATGTCATTAGCTAATAATAACTTCTCACCGCTCGATAATCAGACGTTTCCGCCCATCTCCAGGCGGGAAATTCTCAGACTCTAGGAAGACATCTTTAGGTAAACACGGTCCGAGCAAAAGAAAGTTAATAGTCTGGAATGTCTGACTGAGCAGCTTCGTCCCCTTTTTGCAATTACATAACGAAAGAGGAAGGTAAATAAAGCGTGGAAGAGAAGATGCGGCTTCCTAGGCGGAAATAGGTGATGTCACGCGAGATGTTCAACATTTTCGGAGTTAACGAACGTCCTTGTTGTCGACGATCCCTCCGCCCATAACCAGAGCCAGAGACGGTGTCCTAGATCGACGAGTTCCCACGGCGAGTGCATGCCGAAGTCAAGGCTAAATGCGCATTCGGTATCACGTTTATTCGAGATGTGAATTAGGACAACCTTAGCGGTTCGTATCCAATCCACTTTCACACGAAACTCTTCTCGCAAACATCACCGTGACACGCCCTTCGTTGCCTCATCGCTAACCGACATTCCACCCCTTGACAATATTGACATAGTTCTCACTCGGGGAACAATTCGACTCGCCCGCGCATTGTCTACGCGTTCTTAATTATCTCGGGTTTTGTTCTGGGATCGGACGGCGACGCCCGAGGAGCCGAGGATCCTTAATCTCCCGGACGCTTCTAGGTGGGTGATAGTCCGTACGTGTCACCGGTACGCACAATTTCGACCTTGGATGGTTCTTTACCAGTCATTGCTAGCCTTGAAACCGAAAGAAATCATGTGTGTCGGCACTTTGAATGTTTATTTCTACTTCTGTTTCTTTGTTAATGTCTGCTTTTAATTGTCGAGCCGTCGTTGTTTCTCCGCAAGGCCGATTCTTTCGTAGAACCCATTGACACTCCGAAACCGGCGACGGAACGATCCGGTCCTCCATTGTCTTGCCTAGTCGAAACGGTAATTAAGGCATCACTCGTTCTTCGTCCCTCGACTTCCGGTTATTTTAAGGGAGGAGACGAGTCCACCTTCTACCGGATCGTCCAAGGACGTCCTCTAATCTACTTTCGATTCGAATCGGTAGCAGCAGATTATCCACAGTCCGAGGTGACCTTTTCCTTACCGGAACGACTCTCGGGAGGGTGAGGGGAGGAGAGAGAGGAGGCGAATAATCCGACACTCCATTACCTGCCGGGTGGTGAAGCACCGCGCGTCATTATTAAGAACCGGAGGCATCGAGCCCACTTCTCGGGTGAATCGTGATTGAAAGATTTGTCCCTCCACAAAAGACTCTAACGTTCTTTTGTGCTATTCACACCGTACACCTCGCGCGACAAGTGTTCGCGTCCTGTCGATTGTTAGCAAAAGTTCCTCTTAACTCCTAGAGAAACCCCCCGTCTCCACTGCATTGGTTAAGATGTCGGTCCAGTCTACGTCCCGTTTCCAACATATTCTGTGCCAATCCAAAAATAATAGGTATCGTTTTCGATTAAACGGTCACGACAGATTAAAAAACAATGGTCTATAATGAGAGAGAATATAAGGAAGTTGCGACTTTATTTATTATTTTAATCTATTTTAATGTGTTAGACAATTCGTTTGTCCTTCCTCGACTTTTTCTTTCTTTGTCCATCTCTCGCAGATGTATCGATTAAGCGATAATTAGATTTAATTGTTGCTCATTCCAATTATTTTAAATAAATAATGCGCTTCATTTCAATTCAATTCCAACGGATAACGATTAAAACTTTAAACGTACGCGGGGAAGATGACATCTGTTTATTTTTATTGCTTTTCATATCAATTTACTTTCAAAAGGTGTGAGAAATTCTCATTACTCATCGAAAATGACAGACTTTTTTAAAGAAAATTTCCAGAAATCTTACAGGAAAATGTTATGTTAGACAGGAATTTTTTGTAGAAAAGTACTGTACATCCGATCAATGAAAAATTATGCAGTTCTCAAAGACAGGAATAGGAAATTTCAATACGTTTACTCATTCAATAATACGAGAAAAAATAAAAAAGTATTGTAAAATAGATCCATTGCCGCTTCAGACCGTGGAGAGTAGATCAAAGTTAAAGAAAGAAGAAGAAAAAAAAGAGTTTTGTTTAAATCGCTCGGGGCTTCCACTTATCCTTGGGATAGAAGTAGTCGCTAACTTTCTATTATCCGCTCGGCTTCTTTAAAATCTCATACATTTTAGTAAAAATTCAATTATCCGTCTAAGTGGTCAAACGACTCGACTAATGCATTCGAATATCTCCAGTTTCCTTAATTTCTAAATTCTCTTCACACAAAGGAAAACTTTCGATAATTATTCCATTATAAATTTCAATTTAAAACCGTATAACTAACAACATAAAAATACCTTTTATTACGAAAATAATTGCAAAAAAAAAAATGGATTTCGTCACCTTTTTTAATATAAGCTACCTCTACCGAATAACGCCGAGGATGCGTATATATTTTTTATACATAAAATAACATAATTATGTTGTATAAAATTTCAATTGAATTCGACATACATCTATTCTTATTATACGCATGGTTTTTATCTCCAAATCTAAACGTTCGTTCACATCTTAAGGATAACTAAACTTTTCACACAAGCTACCACATAGTTTAATTGTTTAATAATAGGTTATAAAGATACCGATCCCTGTTATATATTCATTGTACTCATTATATAAGAAGTATATTGTTAATCCCTTTAGAGAATACTGAATATTGGACTATTGTTTACAATTCATTTCATAAAGGAGGATGGAACCACGGACGTAAATGGTAGAAATGCTTATATCTTTCAGCCTGTATCGTCTCGGAATATGTCTTTGTATCTCGCTATTTGGAGTATCTTTAGAGGTAATATAATTAGAGAATGCTGGAAATTCGCGTAATCGCTCTTTACCAGAAATAAAATAAGATAAGAGTATCTTCTATCTCTCATTAATTTCCTTTTTTTTTTATTTATAGAAACACATAGAAAAGTTAGGCTATAATAAATTGACGTTGGAAGATATAATTTTGTATGCATAACATAAATGATATAAATCTTGTTAATAACTTAAGAGTTAGAATAGTGGCTAATTACTCGACAATGATAAATGTGGTAACAACAACGGCGATGATGAATTCGTAAGTGACTTATAAACAGGAAATTTCACAACTAAGCGTGTTCGTCATCTTTCCCCTGTCTGAGATAACATGACGAATTCTATAGGTAGGGCCTTTATCTCTTCATATTACTCACCTTCTGCATCTGAAGGAATGGTAGAAGGTATTCTTATGAAAAATACAACTTATTTTTTAATAGAAAAGTAACGTTTTTTACTATTTGCTGCGTGACTTGTTCTAGTTTTCTCTTCCTTTAAATTTGGTAAATGATGTTAGAAATAATCATTTTTTTACTCGATTATATCTTACGTGAAGAATTTATTTTGTGAAAGAAAGCATTTACGCTCACAGAATTTATAGAATTTGTTTAAAAAAGAGAAGAAAATAAGAGACGTGATCCACTTAAAATGGTTTATAAAGCTACATATTTTATGATTTATCTATAATATTTATTGATATATTATCGTGCAAACAAATGAATAACACTTTAGTAAGCTAAAATATATAGATTTTAACAAAAAAAATTAACAATAAATAAATAAAAAACATCCAAAATCGTGATCAACATAAAAACTTGACTGTGAAAATGATAACGAACGGGATACGAACCCACGTCTTTTAGTTATCGAAGGACACGGGTTCGATCCCGTTCGGGGCCAACACAATTGGTCTATCTGGGTCTATGGACCGGCACGCGGTTAGTACCGATTTACACAAGCTCCCTGTCTCCTCCACCCCGTGTTTCCTGTTTGTTAACATTGTCAACTACTCAGCGGGTAAATAACATTACAAATTCATGGTTTTTCTTTAAGAACATTACAAAAATGATAAAAATAAAAACAAAATGATAATCCATTTCTTCTATATTTTATCATGCAACAGACATTAATAGAGGTGAATGAATGGATGCGAACGTTGTCGAGCAGGGGTCGCACCATTAATAACCGAAAGATTTGAGTTTTTCAGCCACTCCAACGCTTTAAAACGAAAGGATTTAAAGTGTATGCCACTCTCGCAATATTTTGGGAGTTTCCCACATAAATTTATAGCGAGACGATTCACGTTTATGGTCCTTCTCGTTATCTTCTTCGAAATCTGAGAAAAACCGATTTTACACTCGACGATATTAATACTTGATTAATATTAATGTAGAGTGTCTGGTGCATGATTAAATTTTAAAGTATCAGTAACTTTAACATCTGTAATGATTAAATTTATATTTTGTAGAAGAATGAGATACTGTTGGCAGGTTACGGACACAATGGCAACTCCCAGAATGAGACGGGAGACATTATTTTAGGTATCAATAACGTCGCTTAGAGAGAAACTAGCACGCTATTATGCTAAAATTCTTACTTAATATGTTAATAAATTCGTCAAGGATAAGAAATTACAAGATAATAAATATTTACAAACAATGATTTTGTATGAAAAAAACAAAAAATGTTAAGCTGAAATTACCTGGAAGTGTTCATTCTTCCATTGTTGTTTATTTTTTATTTTTTAAAATAATAATAAATGGATAAAATTCGCAAAATATAGGTTGGTGAATGTATTAAAATATTGAAAAAAAATTCGGATATTTTTCGAAATTCAAGTTAAACACGTAACGTTTGATATAATTTAAAGTGACCTTTTAACTGGCTTTTGTCTAGCCGAATAGGAGTAAGGACTAATTCAATATTATCGCCATTAGATATATATTAAAATTACATTTAAAAATTAACTAAAATCTCATTATATATCGAATAACTTAAGACAAACCCTCATTTTTAAGGACTTTTTAGGGAAAAGTTTGATACTAAATCAACTTTAAAGCGTTTATTAAGGAGTATCCTAAGGTTCTCCTAAGTTAGGGAAATTCTTAATCCTAATTAAGAAGTGGTACGGTATTTTCTTCTGTTTCTAAATCTATAAAAAAAACATTAAGATTGCATCTGTAAATAACAAGTTTAAAAAAAATTCCGATAATTATCTTTAATAGAATAATGTAATTGTAGAAAGAAATCCATCATCACTATTCTTTCCTCGTCACAGGAATACCGAATTAAAATCCTACAGACGAACATAATTGGAGGGGGGAAATATAAAAATAAGCTTTACATCAAAATTCCGAACGGAAGTGTGATAATTACACGAATAAATACCGTGCAAACCGAGGCGACGTTTAAAATATAGTAACGTGATCGATCTATCGGCGTGACATATTTCCTGTTTACCTTTTCGCAGTTAAAGACGGGACGATCACGTGAATTCGGTAAAATTTTAATCGGAATTTGTATATACATTTTCGAAATTTTTCGAGAATAATCATATTTATTTCTATGGCCGGCGGTAGAAGTATTTTCACACCAGAGTAGAGACAATGAAGTACAGTAAAGAAATATAGAAAGTGAATAGCCATTCGAGTATCTCGTTACGTTTACAATGAGTGGAAAAATTTGTTAACTAAAAGAAACAAAATACATTATTAGATAAATGTTACAGAATGATGGATTCTATAAACTTGTTAGCGTGATATTTCTTCACAGATGAGAAGATGACCCATTTCCTTTTTATGTATAATCCTCTCCTTGTATGAAACACAAATATTCTTTAAAAAATAACGTTTATTACAAGGGGAATATTTTGATTATTTTTTTAAATAAAAATCTACGAATTTAACACTTTTAACTGAATTAGAATGCATAGAAAAACACGTAAAATCGGTGTGAAATTCATTTTATTTCAAGTTGGATTATTCTAGCGTGTGGAAACGAGTGAAACGTCTTATTTCTATAATTGTCCTAATTTTAAATAATTAAACGTTTCCTTACGTCTAGGAACTTTTAAAAGGTGAGATTTATAACCGTTTTCCTCTTGATAACTTACGCGTTACTTAATCTAATGCGTTATGATTAATGCAATCTTGGAACATAACTCTTTAAAATATATAAGATTGCTTTGAACCGGGCCTATAAATCGTTTTACAGCAAACAGCACACGTTTGATACTTATACATTCCAATATATCTTATTAATATATATATATATATAAGATGTTATTAAACAGATCTAGAAATTATAAAATCATCATTTCTATGAGAAAACACTATATGATTAATGATATCCTCCTATCTTAAGCTTGTGATGAATTGAGGTCAGAGTATTATTTTTCTTTATTTTTTTTTTTTGTTTGTTAATAAGAATATTCCTTCTTTTGTATACCGTTCTCACCCTCCAGATATCGAGGATAAAAGGGTATACAATAAATAATATTCTAGACACGATTAACAGCCCCTGACAAATATCAACATTGTGATATGGTTTCTGGTTATCAATTCTGTTTCTGGTAGTCTCTGTTTAAATTAAATTCGATCGCGCTTTCTTCCTTGTTCGAATATTTTTAACGTTTTCTATACAAATATTTTGTTGTTTACCTCCATAAATAAACTCATTTGCATTTTATAAAACTGGTATAAAAATAAAAGTGGATTTATCCGACCATACTTCAAAGCTAAGTTACCACAACTAGAAATAGCACTTACAATAACGTGTGTGTAGACGAATTCTTTCTTCTGCACGATGGGGAAAAATCTACATTTTTTCCCTTAAATTAACTATTTTCGATCTATACCTTTATTTATATATATATATAAAACACTTTTTTCTATATTAATGTCTTGGAATTTCCTCAAAAGGTAACTCCGTCTTCCAGTGTTTGTGGAAAATGGAGGAATACACTCGGAACAGTTGATCTATCTCATAACACTTTGCGGTGTTTAATTTGTCACGTGCTCGGGATTAAGGCAGGTAAACGTATGAGATCGAGTTGGCGGTAATTACAGTCTTACCGGTGTTTTTCTCATTGTTTTGATGACGTATTTTACGCTTGCCATACTTTCGAACGGTGTACTAAAAATGACTTAACCTTCATTCATTCGGAAAATTACGATTGAATAATTATCATAATTATCGTTCTCATTGTTTTTCAGCCATCGACAGCTAGAAATTTCTTAACACAAACTTATTAATCATCGTTCGAAAATCATTTCCTATACCCTTTATTCTAACTGAATTACAGATTTCCGATCTTTAAGTATACAAAATAATAGAAACAAACGGAATAATAATAATAATAATGGAAAGAATTGTAACTTGAGTAGTTTGTTGGTTGTGCCGAATTTCGTCATCGCTTTGGCATAAGGCCAGAGGAATCGTAAGTTCCGTCATTGGACAAATTACGTAAAAAGCAGACAATATTATCAACAAACGTATTAATTTATGGAGCGTTTTTTTGATTTCTGGAATATGAATAATTCATCTGTGACGTCAGCATTCTGAAGGGAGAAAGATGCAAATTAAATGGCGATCGTTATTCGATTTCATACAAAGATTTAGAATTAGCAGTTTGATAAAAAGGGTGTTTATTGTTAGAGATATTACAGACAAGTTTCTTAACCACGTTTACGTCCCTAAAAAATAAAAAAAATAAAAGTGTTAACGCTCTCAATTTGACCACCTTATTAATTATTATTGTTTAATTATAATTTATATCCTCTAGGTAGAATTTTGTTAAGGAAGCAATTAGATTTTATCAAATTTTTTCTTCTCCTCTTTGAAGAGGAAACTAAAATCTCTTAACACAATTAAGTTCTAAGGTTCCTCATTCGATTCGATTAAACATTTCTGTCCCCAATTTTCCTACATTTAAGTAAAAACTGGTACTGTTTAATCCTTGTTTTTCATCTCTCCCGAAGGATTAAAGTTAAGAAGGTTTTTTCCCCCTCTATTATATAATTAATTTAATAATAACAAATTGATTTTTAGCGAATTTAATAAGACAATGTGGCTATAAATTAATCGTCCAATTAATATTATTGGATAAAGTGTTTGTGAATTATGTAGAAAGATTTGCTTTGAGTAACCGTAGTTAATGTATAACGAGGATAACAATACCCTACAATGTTTTTAAGTAGGTGTTTCCCAACCTCTCTTAATTGGCGACCCCCTTTCGACGTGTGGAAGACCGTGACATTACATAGGGATGTGGTTCGCGGTCCACCGGTTGACAAACAAGTTTACCGTTGGGAAACCAATATACTCTATATAATAGGCTTCCCGTTCTAATATAGAAAGCAGCCTAATTCTCCTTTGAGTTTTTATAGTAACATAACCAGTATTGCCTGGAGTATAGATTTTGTATAAAAATAAAAATCGTCAACAGTATACGTGAATATCTGGAAGGTACTTTGCCTATATTCAGTGATAAATTTGCTCTAAAACCGATTGAGCCCGCGGCCATTATCGGATCTACTTGGACTACTTATAAACATTATTTCTTAAAATTCTCTCAGCATATTTTTATAAAAAGCTGAAATTGTGATAAAAACAAAGCCAAAAATAACATTTAATCGTCGCCTGATCTTGCCAACTTTAACAATTAGGCCTATAGATAGACCGTGTTTAAGTACGAAATCCACAGTTAAATTATAGAAATTCTGCGTAACACACGATGAAATTTCCGTTTTTGATCGTGAAATTCTTTACTTAAGAATAAAAATAGGCGAAGAAAGTATGGATTTAACCTTAATTTCTCTAAAGAAATGTCTCAAGGTTTTAAACTGGTTTGGAAAAAATTGTATTACGGCTATCGCTTTGTTTGTTTAATCGTTTGTCGGTCTGTCCGTAGATACAATATTAACTCCTAATCATTTATAAGCCAGGTAATTTTTGAAATATAAATTCATCGTATAGCCTACACTTTTTAATGTATAAATTGCCTGTATGCCTGTATCAAGCTTATAAATTGGCTCATAGAACTAGATAAGGTGAGCAGCCAATCGATGTGTACAAAATTTGGCTCAAATTCATTCCGCATATTTTTAGACTCATTTTAATTCCCACTTTTTCTAACAACGAAATAAATATCGAGGTGTTAAACTGTGCCAAATATCACGGTTATAATTTTATAATTTTCATTTTTTAAAATTAGCCATTCAATTGCATTTCTATCAATAAGGAAGTCGTTATTCTGCCAGCTTATTCTAGAAATATCAATTTGAATCGTAGTTTTACACGAAAAAAAAAACACTAAATTACGCGTAGAAAGTGTTTCAATTTAAAAGTAAAAAGGAAATTTATTTTGTTAAAGATATTTTTTTCACTTTGATGTTTCTGTTAATTGATTCGACTGACGAATGCCAATTGTTTCGACTTATTCAGAAGATACGATAATCGAAATAAATTAAGCATTATGTAAGGTAGGAGGAACGTGCTTTATTCCGCTTGCTTCCAAAACACAAATCCTAAAGAATCTAGGAATGTAATTAGCCTACTTTTTTGCATTTTATTAAGTTCCTTAGATATAATTTTCAAAACACTAAACACAAAATTGTCCAGTTTTCTGAAAGGTCTCTAATTAATTTCAAGAAATTTAATCGAGTAAAGTAAAGTTTGCTTTCTACTATTTAGCAGATTGTCCTTCAATGCCGAAGATTGATACGAACGTATATCTCAATAACACTATCCTAATGCCTTTTTTTCTTTCTTCTTCTTCTTCTTCTTCTTCCTACACTAAACTGCGAGTCGAGAACGTTGTACCTTTATATGTGGTGCAAAAGAAGCCTCGCAATCCGAAGAGAGTTAGCTTTTAGCTATCGATCCTTCTTCTCTGCAGAAAACTATACCTTTACTGTGCAGCCACATCGATTGGTAGGTTCGTGACTATTTTTTGGACTCTAAAATTAGTAGAGATGCCTAGAAATTAGAAAATTTTTGCGTTATTTCTGTTTTTCGATAAGAGAATCGAGACGACTTTTCTAGAGATTTTTATTTTTATAAATGGATGAGGTGAAGCCAGATATATTTCATATCTAATATACGAGAAATTTTCTGATATTTAATCCATCGATTATTTAAAATTGGTTATGAAATATTGATATTTTAAAGATAAAATTGAAATCCTTTACTGTAGTTCTGTATATACATATTTTCAATAGTTTCATTAAAGAATTATGGATTTTATTTTAAATAAATCTTACTTTATTCCATTAAATACACGAATAAAATCCCATCTTCGAAATTTTTTGCAAAACCGACGATTTATTCCGTGCAATCGTCCGTCTTTAAGTATAGAAATTCGAACATTTTAAAGCATATTTTTATTTTTTCTTTTATTATTTTCTGTGGACTATTTCACGCGATTTTATTTTATTGTAACGACAAGTTTTATTGCAATAAAATTCTTACTCTAAACCGAAATTAAAGTAAAAAACCGCAATGAAATTATTATAAAATATGGGTTTTCTAACCAGTGGGTCACGAACCATATTGTTGGCCTTCGACCAACGAGAAAAAAATCACCAGACGAAAGAAATTGAGAAACATCGATAGGTTGGAAAACCACTTAAAATGATGTAAAACTATTATATTCTTCATTAAATTGTGACTGGTGCGGATCATTTTCTAAATTACTTATAAATAGATGTTTATAAAAGGGTTCATTTGAACCCTTTCAATAGAAGTTGAGGAAAGTAACACGGTATTACGTTCAACCAAAAGTATAGTTTCAAGAATTTATATGAAATAAATTAGAAAATAACTAATAAGAAAGTAAAGAAATTATTTTTAAAACCTTGATTATTTTGATTTTACCGGCTTTAAATCAAGCGTATTGTTATTTTGACAACGAATTTCACTTTCTCTGGCTGACAAAGAAAAGTTACAAAAAGAAAGTTTGGTGTGGTTGTAGACTTTCGTAACGAGTTTGAAAACTGGGTAGACCTTTGAAACTGACCTCTTCTCGTGCCTGCTTTGCCATGCACGAAATGCAAACGCTGGTGTAGAGAGGGACCGAATTCGGTATTAGAGATAAATGGGCATCTTCCGTTTCTACTTCGATCTATAAGTAAATGAAAACGTCACGGGCAACAATGGATTCTAATTGGCACAACGGGGCAATATAGGGCAAAGGGTGTGTCTTCTCTTCTAAGGCATCCTGATGAGAAAGGCGAATCCACTCTGTTCTACTCCTTTCGCTGGATCCACCCTCACACAAAGTAAGGGTGTGGTCGACCCGCCTACCATCGGGCATTCACCACATTCCAGTCTCGTCTCTTATTTATTATGTGATAGTCGTTCGATGATAATGAACTAGCCCTATTTATTCTCATCGTCGGTCGACTCCTCGCTCCCGATGACTCAGCCGCGAATTACTTTTAAAGAGTCGTAAACAAAATGGCTCCTCCGACGTTCAACGTCTAATCGAGCTCTTTACAAAGCCAGCGAGGAGTAGAAGGAGCGAGGAAAAACTGAAGAGTGGTTCTGGTGGCAGAACCGCTTTCGCTTTCTCTCGGCCACCGAATTTCCCTCTTTTCAGGGCGTGTCTCATATTGTCAACGAGATGACATATTTACGTAGTTCCCCCGCTGAGGAATAACCGAGGTCACGTGATGCGGCTACATCCTCCCGGATTAACCCTTTGGCAGGGGTGGAGTAACTAAGGACGTAGGTGTTACAGATAAAGACCGGTTCGTCGCCGTACGGCAGCGAAGAAGAATCGAGTTTTATTCTCTTCAATGTTAGATTTTTCTTCTTCCGTCACGAGTCTGTTAATGTTTACACGTTAATACGCATCGCGTTGCCGCGGTCTTTAGCGGTTGGTCGAGTGACTCACGATTTACGTGAGATAAGGTTTCGGAAAAATTGCCGGGGCAAAAACCTACGTGAGGAGGTGTTAAGATGATTTTCCGCGCACAATTTCGGAATCGAGCCTTGGCTACTATTTGTATCGGTGACCACCTCGAGAGAAAGATCCCGGGATGGGAAAGAGCAAAACGGTCACGCCCGACTTCGTGATTCGTGACTCTGACGCACTCACGATGCCAGAGATGGGACGTAGGAGGTGCCTTATCACGTCTCGATCGCTAAAAAAAAAAGAAAAAATATACTTGATTAATCAAAGCCCGGCTCTTCCCGAGGTCTTCTGCATTACAATGTGGTAATGCCACTTATTGCTTAATCTGAGTGCGGAGAAGAATAGCGTGATGCGCTTCCATTAAGTCGTGTTAATCAGGAATTACTGCCGAGCTACTGTGACTCGACCGAACCGGGGAAGCCATTTTTCATTTCTGCAGAAAACACTAGTTCGACCGCCCATCGGACCTTCCCAAATTGGACGTTCTCTGGAGGCTCTCGAATTAGCCTTGTAAGTAAGGGAGGAGCCCGTCCATCGGGCGCGACTTTACAACAGCCATTGCGTCCGAACGCCACGACCAACGGACGGATGTCGAAACGAAATCGCTTCCGAACCGTTGCAGGCGTCGATAACAATCGGACAGAAGGGTCACGAAGGAATCACATTCGAGATGCCCTCCCGCCATCATAAATGATGACGAACGATCGATCCGCCTCGATCGAGCTTTTAATCATCCTCCATTTCTTCCAACGGGCGTTTTAATAATTCGTACCGGTC